CCACTCTGGTAGGCAGTATTGATAATGGGGGAAGCTATGTATGGAGGTGGGAAGGGGGATATGGGAAATCTCTGTACCCTCCCCTCAATTTTGCTCTGAACCTAAAACTGCTCTAAAATTATATATATATATATATATATTATACAAAATTCTAGAAATCCTATAACTGCCATTTATTATTGGTTGGTATACAATAAGTATGTTTAACCTGAATTAAAGGCCTTTGTTATCTAAAATCAATACACATACTGCAGACTTTTGGAAGGCATTGTAAAGTGTTCTACTTGGACAACATTAAATTTCTTTTGTATTTGTGAAGATGCTTATGTTTTTCTTTTAACAAAAAGCAGAACTATTTCTTTTCAATATAAAAACCTTCTATTGAATTTGCTTTGAAGCAACTGGTAATAAGATTATGATGCAAAAGCACAGAAGGGTGGAGAAAATGGTCTTGCCCTTTATCTTATATATAATATGTCATATTTGTCTTAGCCCCAGGATAAGGCAATAACTCATATATTTGGGAAAAAATAGGAGACAATTTTGCTTAACATATTTATTATGTGATTACAGTGTTGCATCAAATGGCCAATTTAATGCTGTTTTTTTTTAAATGTTCTGCTCCAGTTAGTTAAAAGGTTTCCTTCCCTTCCTTTCTAGTCATTAGATAAAATCGTATATGTATATATGATTGCAAGTTCTGACAATTCCTTTGGCTTTAGCCATGGAGAAAGCAGTCTTGTGATTCAAGCTGTAAATCAGTTTAAGGTATTTCCTTATTCCACTACCAGCCTGGGGATGAACAGAATCACCCATTTTAGGCACACTGCCTCCCTCCCTTCCCCTCTGTTTCCCAGATGAAATCTATTTTTAGTGTTTTTATCATTTTAGGCATTTCATAAGGCAGAGGTGTGTATGTAGGATTTCTGGAGTTATGTATTATCACTTAGAAGTGGGGAAGTGCCACACTATATGCAGGAAATGGCCTCCACAGTCCAAAGATAAAACATTTAGATTAAAGGGAGATTAGGAAAGAGAAAGAACATACTGCAGTTTATTCAGCAGTTCTCTCAGTTTCCTTCTCCGAATTAGGATCTACAGATTTATTCACAAGATAATAGGCTGTTTTATTTTTAATTTTTTAAAAAAGTAGTAGTAGTTATTGTTATTCAATTAGAAATGGTAACAAATCTGAAAATATTTAAGAGCATACTGTTTCCCATCCCTTCACACAACAATACCATACCCTAGAGAAGACTCTAGGTTTCTGTTTTTAGTTCTCTGGTTTCTGCTATAATTTTAGGTAAAATGTTTCTTTCTCTCTTCCAGTATATTCATTTTAGACACTACTTATCGATTCCCCAATTTGATTAAGAACAGTTTCACTCATGTGTTATAACTCTCTGCCCTTTCATAATGTAGACATTTATTATTTCAATTTTTTGATTGATTACTTTTTACACTTTAGATGATATCTCTAAATTTCTCCTCTGCATCCCCATTCCACAGAATCTCTTCAAGCTCCTCTTTATAACCTAAAGATACATGCGTGCACCTACCCCTTTCTCTACCTTTTATTCTTCCCTTCCATATTTTACCTTATGTCAGCCACAGCTTCTACTTTTACATTGTCAGAATTACTAACATTTATTTCTGTCTTGCAACCATAATCATTGTTGACCACAGAATGACTCTAAACTTTGAAAACAAACACTTACCTTATAGGACTATGCTAATATTGTTCAATGCTGGTCTCAGTAGTGTATTAGATTTCATGTCCCTCTCTAACTGATTCAATATAATATCACCTTGGCCCGTGTAAGGAGAGTGTTTCTAAGCATCAACATCAGTTAAAATAGTTTTACACTCTATGTATTACTTAAATTCATGCCATACTGTAGTTTCTTTTTTATTTAGACCATGGTTAACTTATACATTTACAAATTATTTTCCTGCAGTTTCTAATTGCCATTTTTCTTTCATTTCATTATTTGCTATTATATTTCCTTCCCCTTATCCATACACACACACACACACCTTTAAATTGTAATTTTAATTCTATTGAGTTCTTTCTTTTTTGGAGACCTCTCTCCTGGAGTCTTTAGTCTTCCTATTCCAATCAGTTTTACAGTTTCTTTATTTTGGTCAGTCATTCTCTTTAATGCTGCAGACTCTTCACATATTACAGATCCTTGTTTTTCTATTCATACTTAAGAAAAAAGGAAGAGTAGCTGGTTGAGGTTTCCTTTGTTTTAACAGCTCTTTTCCAGCCATTTTTCTCTCCTGAGTAGCAGTTCTGCAAGGAAACTTTTGGTGGAGCTGGGCTGGGACTCACTTTAGAGTCTGATGTTGGGAAGCTATCTTTCAGGCTACAGGCCCCCAGGTCTCAGAATGACTTTATGCCACCTGTTACATTTGCCCAACTATAAATACTGGATTAATCCTCCTTTGGTAGCCTCACTTCTCAGTCATAACTTCTTACTCCAGAGTCAGAACCCTCTCCCTTTGCAGTTCCTTACATCATTTGCTAGGCTCTGACTTCTCTGTGCATTTCATTGGTCAACTTGCCTCTATCTGTTCCCCAGATACTTATTGAAAGCTCTCATTTGTTGGTGGCCACCAACACCCCTAATCCTGTTGCCTCACATTCTTTACTTCCTTTACTGTTATGGTTATGCCTTCATTATAATTTTATGTTTTTATTTCAATGGGATCTCAGGAGCAATGGGAGATAAACACATATTTCTGCTATCTTGAATCTCTCCAAGTTGGTTTTAGAAAAGCTATCAATTGAGTTTCTGTTCTAAACTCTAGGAAATATTAGATTGTTTCCACTTTATAGTTTTCTTTGTTTATTTAGTATCTCCTCATATAGACGGAAAACACTGCAAGAGCTGTAGTTGTGCTTTCTGTTTCATCCATTTCTTCTATAGAGCCAGAGATTCAATTGTAAGGAGTTTCAAAATTTCAGATGTAAGTGCCAATGTTTAAAGTAGACCACTTTTCTCTAGTTTTTCTATTCATTTTTACCCTCTCTTCTCTTTCTTTACCTCTGCTTGCCTTGGTCTCTGTTTCTCAACTAATCATCTTTCTTCTAGCACTGCTTCTTCACTATGTCCTTTTCCCAATCCCCTCAATCTATAGAGTTAAGGCATCTCTTTCCTCTGGGCCCTATCCTCCTTTATTCCTCATGTTCACTATTATGTGACCTATTTGCAGACATTTCAGTGTGCCACCCATGTTTCTCCTTTATATCTTTGCTACATATTTAGGTCTCCCAGGAATACTCTGAATAGTTTTGCAATTCAGCAGTTTCCAACTCATGGCCAACCTTGCTTCATCCCTGCTCTCATTCCCTCCTCTCCCCATATTATTTTGAAATAAATCCCAGACATCACATTAGTTCTTTCACAAACATTTCAGTGTGTATCTCAATATGGGTGCTTTTAAAAATGTAACCACAAAACCATTAGCACACCTAAAATTACTTAATATCATTACATATCATTACATATTCAAATTTCTAACGTTTCATAATTGTGATTAATGCTTTTTAGTTTGTTTAATTGAATTAGGATCCAAATAAGGTCTAAAATTTCCTGTTGGTTGATACTCTTTTTAAGTCTCTTTCATCTCTTTTTATCTGTAAGCTCCCTTTCCTTTTTCCCTATCCCTCTTTTTTCCTTTTTACTGCAATTTAATTGTTGAAGAAACTGGATTATGTGTCTTGTAGATTTCCCACCATCTGGATCTCACTGATTACATCCTTGCAGTGGCCTTTAATATGTCCCATAGAGTTTATCCTTTAAATTCTGGGATTTTATGGTGTTATTCTACTATTTGGCATAATTCCTAACATTTCAGATTTTATCTTCATATGATTTCACATCTCCTAAAACCACTTTTTATAAGAAGTTATGTGTTTAACTTAATCTGACCCAGTTGCTTGCAGTCTTATAATTAGAACACCAGTTAAATGGTAGTTTCCCTGAGGGACTAGGTGCTTAGACTGGTGAAAATGAAACTTACTTTTTGCAAGAAGGCCCCTTTGGGGAATTGCCATAGACCTTAAACTGTAGTTAAATAAAAGCTTACATTAAAATGAAAATAGCTTTATATTTTCAAATTTTGACCCTTAATAAATCAATGAATGAAAACCTAGGCTTACTGAAGGTGGACTCAGAGCCTCATATATGTGGACAGCTCCAAGTAAACCATCTTCAGCTACTCCATAGCATAACTAGGGCAAATGATGTAATCTGGGATAGGTACTGAAATCCTCAGACTCACCCTCACCTGGGGAAATTAGGTCTTTCTCAGTCACTGGTTGCGGAGTAAATATCGAGTTTTAGTACTTCTTGTCCATATGTCAGAAAATATGGGATCTAAACGGGAGGAAATATGCTAGAAGAAGTTCACAACCTTTCTAGCATGCTGATATCTGAAATGGTATGAATGGGAGAGCTGTCATTTTGTCTTAAGGGCTGCAGTTCTTTCATGGCTTCTTTCTTTCTTTTTTATTTATTTATTTTTTTGCGGTACGCGGGCCTCTCACTGCTGTGACCTCTCCCGCCGCGGAGCGCAGGCTCCGGACGCGCAGGCCCAGCGGCCACGGCCCACGGGACCAGCTGCTCCGCGGCACGTGGGATCCTCCCAGACCAGAGCACGAACCCGCGCCCTCTGCATCGGCAGGCGGACTCTCGACCACTGCGCCACCAGGGAAGTCCCTCAGGGCTTCTTTGACTTCTGGTTCTTTTCGTGCAGCAGCTCTCATTGAGAAGTCCATTCTTGGCCTTGGCTAGTGATTTTTCTTGGGTGATATACAGTTTTGTACATAGCATTGTTTTTTTTTAATGAATTAAGGGTTTTCTTCCTGTATGTTTGTTTGTTTGTTTGTTTTCCCAGAGGTAAACTTAGAAAGATTAGAACTTTTACGGTGAAATGTCAGGCTAAAAATTTCTTTTTATGGTGTATTGTTCTCATTTTCTCTCTGGTTTTAGGAGCTGGGAATCCAAAGTGCAAAATTGCAATTGTTATGGGAAAAAGTAGCAATAACTGTGTAACCAGGTAATAAAACAATAGTGATTGAGAAATCTATGAGGAATAAGAGTAGGTCTTTCTCTGTATCCACTTAATTTACATAAAATGCACCATTTGGGGGCTTCCCTGGTGGCGCAGTGGTTGCGAGTCCGCCTGCCGATGCTAGGGGACACGGGTTCGAGCCCTGGTCTGGGAAGATCCCACATACCGCGGAGCAGCTAGGCCCGTGAGCCACAGCTACTGAGCCTGCGCATCTGGAGCTTGTGCTCCGCAACAAGAGAGGCCGCGACAGTGAGAGGCCCGCGCACCGCGATGAAGAGTGGCCCCCACTTGCTGCAACTGGAGAAAGCCCTCGCACATAAACGAAGACCCAACACAGCCAAAAATAAATAAATTAATTTAAAAAAAAATGCACCATTTGGGCTCACAAATCATAATGTAAAATATATTATGACATTAGATGTCACATGTTTGTATTTCACAATTATTTTGCTAAAAGATATATTTAGAAAACATTTTAGGGAGTGTTGCTATGCATTCTTCACTGTGGAATTTCCTGTATTAAAAGTGTTGCTGAATCCTCAAAGCTGTTTGGATCAGATTATAAGATATATAAAATTTTTCAAAACTGTTTGTAAGTTAGACATTTAGATCCAAGGCAATAGTCTTGAAATGTTTAATGTATTGAATATCAGTTGCCAGTTACCACTTTGAGCAATGAGAAGCCTCAGTTAAATAACTTTCAAATATTTTAAAATCATCATTGTTCCAGATCACAGCCTGCATCTGAGTGTACTTAATGTATGTTTTTTACACAGTTCCCATTCCAAACATCATTGCTTACATAATTACATGATAACAACAATGAAAAAATGAGTTGAGACTCTGCCTAACATCGGTTTTATTTTTCCACTTAGCACACTTTTCCTAACATCTGTTTTCCTTTTGACCAGACACAAACAGCACAGCATGATTCTTGTTCCCATCAACACACCTGGAGTAGAAGTAATAAGGCCCTTGTCTGTTTTTGGCTACCTGGGTAAGTACTCAATCAACCTGTCCGTGTATTTGCAAGCAGGAAGACTAGAATATGCAGTAACACTGAAGGGACTAGGTAGCATTTTTTAAAAAATATTTATTTATTTATTTGGCTGCATCGGGTCTTAGTTGTGGCACACAAGATCTTCATTGTGGCATGTGGGATCTTTCGTTGCAGTGGGCAGGCTCTCTAGTCATGGTGCACAGGCTCTAGAGAGCGCGGGCTTAGTAGTTGCGGCACGTGGGCTTAGTTGCCCCACAGCATGTGGGATCTTAGTTCCCTGACCACGGATCAAACACACGTCCCCTGCATTGGAAGGTGGATTCTTAACCACTGGACCACCAGGGAAGTCCCCAGATAGCATTTTAATGCACAAGATGGGTTCTTAGAAATTTTTTGACGCTTAATAAAAATACGAGTGGAGTTCAGAATAGAACAAATAAAAAGAGAGGTAGTGCAGCATTCTACCACGTTTTGTCTGCTTTTGGGAAAGGGCAGACTGGTATTCAAGGAATAACGACTCTGTCTTCCAGTCTTCTCTTCATCATCCAGGAGAATAGATTAATGAAATACACCTGGAAAATTAAATCTAGGTAACCCATAGTAACATTCATTTTTGTTTCAAGTTTAGCTTTCTTAGTCAATCAACCTCAAGAGCTATTAATAAGCAATGGGTTTTGACTGATTTGAATGCAAAACTTTTCCTTCCTTCTGTCCTTGGGTGGAATTTCTAAGAAACAAGGATACTTTTGCTCAGGCTCATGTTCACTGTTTCCTTGCCAATCAGGTTGCTCACTCAGCAAGTATTTGTTGAGTGCTGAGCACCGTTCCATGTACTTAGAATACATTAGTGAACACAGTAGACCAAGATCTCTGCCCTTGTGGAGCTTACATGCTGGGGGAAGGAGATAGAGAATAAATACAAACATGTAAATAAGAAGTTGTCAGAAGAAGCTGTCAGCCGGTGATAAATGTTATGAAAAAGTTTACTGAACTTCAGGTTTTGTGGTGACCCTGGCTTTCTGTTTATTGTTGAAAGTGGCTAATGAAAATATTCAAGTAGTGGATATAAGACTTGCAGTTTTATGGAACATTTGGCATCATCACTTTCTATAGGCTGCAGCTGGAGAATGCACCCACAGGTTAAGTGTGTTGGCAAACATGAAAAGATGCTCAACAACACTGATTATTAGAGAAATGCAAATCAAAACTACAATGAGGTATCACCTCACACTGGTCAGAATGGCCACCATCAAAATATCTACAAACAGTAAATGCTGGAGAGGGTGTGGAGCAAAGGGAACCCCTCCTGCACTGTCGGTGGGAATGTAAATTGATACAGCCACTATGGAGAACAGTATGGAGGTTGCTTAAAAAACTAAAACTACAACTACCATATGACACAGCAATCCCACTGCTGGGCATATACTCTGAGAAAACCATAATTCAAAAAGACACATGCACCCCAGTGTTCATTGCAGCACTATTTACAATAGCCAGGACATGGAAGCAACCTAAATGTCCATCAGCAGATGAATGGATAAAAAAGATGTGGTACATATATACAATGGAATATTACTCAGCCATTAAAAGGAATGAAATTGGGTCATTTGTAGAGATGTGGATGGACCTAGAGAGTGTCATACAGAGTGAAGTAAGTCAGAGAAACAAATATTGTATATTAATGCATATATGTGGAATCTAGAAAAATGGTATAGATGATCTTATTTGCAAAGCAGAAATGGAGACACAGACATAGAGAACAAATGTATGGATACCAAGGGAGGGGGGACGGGGGAGGAATTGGGATATTGGAATTGACACATATACACTATTGATACTATGTATAAAATAGACAACTAATGAGAACATATTGTGCAGCCCAGGGAACTCTGCTTAATGCACGTGATAACCTAAGTGGCAAGGAAATCCAAAAAAGAGGGGATATGTGTAGCTGATTAATTTTGCTGTATAGTAGAAACTAATACAACATTGTAAAGCAATTATACTCCAATAAAAATTAACTAAAAAAAAAAAGGATTGAATTATAAAGAAAAGTGTTGGCAAGATGGGGATGAACAAGCTCACAAACTGTGCATGGGAAGTTGTTGGGTTGCAGAGCAACAGCCTGAAAGACCACCAAAATGAGTTTATAATGTTGATTGGCTACAAATACCCTCCACTGTAGAGCCTATGTTTGAAATTTCAGTATGACAATTTCACCAGCACCTCTCCAACTCCCTGTGCCAAGGCCAAAAGAAACAGTGTGGACATAATTGATTATTAATGTCTATTCTGACTGGGAAAGGGTGTGGAATTATCATGAGATTATCTGAAGAATTTGGCAGGTAGGAGGGGTGATGTAAAGACAAAATGTGAATGTGTTCCCAATCTCAGTCACATGCCAGCATTTTCAAGAGGCAAACACACAGTGAACAAGCCTAGATTGGGAGCAAACATACCTGAAGGCCCAGCCTCAGCTTTGCCTCTAATGCTGAACCTGCTCTGTCCCTTCAAGCAAGTTCTTCCCATCATCATGCATTGGTTTCCACAATGGTCAAATCAGAAATTTAAATTACATTATTCACTTTCAATTTTTGAACAACTGGAACTTTTTTTTTCCAAGCAAAATTTTCTTTGGAAGCCCATATATAAAAAATTTCAAAGAAGAAGCAATAATAAAATAATAAAATAGTCTGATCGGAGCTGTGGAGCCGTCTTCCTTTTTCATAGCTCTACAACTTCAGAGAATGAGTTCAGAAACCTCTTGATGAAATGATATCTAAAATCTCTTAAAATTTCTAAAACAGTTGATAAGTTTTTTGGGCTACACAGTGCTGGGGGTTCAGGGCTCTGGTCTACCTAGGAATGTATGACATATGAGGCCTTTAAATTCCACTATCTTTGAGTAATTATATTACAGTAGATTAATTATCTGTGACTGTTTTTTTGTCAATTCATTTTGCTTTTTAAAATTTTATTCTCTATCTTATAGATAATTTCCATGGTGGACATTTTGAGATCCATTTTAATCAAGTGCGAGTTCCTGCCACCAATTTAATACTAGGTGAGATAAGTTTGGAAAAATGATTCTCTATTATTTTGTTTTAAAATATTTTCAGGTCTAAATCTGGAAAAGATACTAAGTATACCATAATTTAGACACTTTCCCCTCTTATTTACTCCATTTATAAAGGAAGATTTTTTCCTTTGGTGGATTTTCTTACATGGAAAAATAAGGTTTTATTTAAGTATTTGATGTGGTATCACATCAGTTGAAAACACAGCTAAATACAAATTTATACAGTTCAGAGCAACACACGTTTTCCTAAAACGTGATCTTCAAGCCTCTACTTGTTTTACTAAAACCTCAGTGCTTTCTGAATTCAAGTCATATACACATTAGAAGCATAAATAACTTGGAACAATGTATGCCTGAAATGACTCCATCCTCTTGCTTGTTGGAATCCTACTCAACCTTCAGGAAACACCTCTGATGCCACCTCTTTCAGGAAGGTTCTTGTGTTCCTCATCTCATCCATTCAACAAGCCCCTGATCCTGCCAGGCCCTAAGGTTACCATGATGAACAGACAGCATCTCCCTCCTTTGCCTTTCTTGTCCCTCTCCATATCCCTTATCCCTAGCATCCTTGCCCCTCTTCTAGGTTCTAAACTCGGGTCTGTGTCTTATCTACATTTGTAACCATTGCAGCACTAACAAAACAACTTATGCAGAGTAGGTACTCAAAAGACAGTTCTTAAATTTGATCCAAGTTTTTGATGCTGGTGGTTTAAAATACATAGAAATCAAAGTTCCATAAAGGTATAGTGAACCTTATTACAGAACTGACTTTTTTCCTACTGGAATGCCATTTTTATTGAGGGCATCTCATTAGTTTCTCAGGATTTGTGTAAATAACAAAAGAAATAGGCTGTGGTCATGTTATCCTTTCTTTCTCACAGGTGAAGGTAGGGGATTTGAAATTGCCCAAGGCTGCCTTGGACCTGGCAGAATCCACCACTGTATGAGAACAATAGGTTTGGCTGAACGTGCGTTGCAGATCATGTGTGAACGGGCAAAACAAAGGGTGGCCTTTAAGAAGAAACTGTATTCACATATAAGGATAATTACTTATTTGAAATTATTGTAGCCCAATGCACTACACTAACCTTGAACCAAAACAGCATTACTTGGTCAGCAAGAGATTTCCTCTGCATAAACAAGGAGAAAATATGTTTTCCACGAAACATACTTATGCCTGAATGTAAATATAATCTGACCAGAGGTAGTTATCTTTGTGAAAGATTAAATAACTCTTTAAGTGCTTCAACACCTCAGCACACAGAGTGTGGACAATTCCTTCAACTTTCCCAGACTCTCGTTCTCTAGAGAACCTTGTACAGTAGCCCTCTCTGTGGACATGAGAGGGCTGTTGTAAGGAGGAAGGAAGCCTTGTCCTTTGGCTTTCTGGAAGGAATTAGGACAGATAAATGGAGAGATATAGGAAAATAGCCTAAAACTCAGTGAAATAAGAGAGATATAAAAATGGAATGGACTGCTTTAAAAAGAAGTGAGCTTCCTGTCAATGGAGAAATGCAAGTAGAAATGGGATCAGCATTTGGTGGGATGTTCATGATATTTTGAATTCTCGTCTCTAAATTATGTACTACTGAGTCTGTTGTTTACAAAGTACAGTAAACAATATAGTTACATCCTTACATCCGGGCACTATAATCCAAATTAGACAATATTTATCAAGAGAAAAAGAGACGGTACTTCCCTGGTAGCACAGTGGTTAAGAATCTGCATGCCAGTGCAGGGGACACAGGTTCGAACCCTGGTCCGGGAAGATCCCACATGCCATGGAGCAACTAAGCCCATACGCCACAACTACTGAGCCTGTGTTCTAGAGCCCACAAGCCACAGCTACTGAGCCTGTGAGCCACAACTACTGAAGCCCACGCATCTAGAGCCTGTGCTCTAAAACAAGAAAAGCCACTGCAGTGAGAAGACTGTGTGCTACAATGAAGAGTAGCCCCCGCTCACTGCAACTAGAGAAAAACCCGCACACAGCAACAAAGACCCAACACAGCTAAAAATAAATAAATGAATAAATTTATTACAAAAAAAAAAAGAGGAAAAGACGCTATCATTTCAGACTTCCTTGCTTACAAGAAATGTTAAAGGGAGCTTTTAAGCTGAAATAGAAAACTTTTTAAGAGAAATGAGATATCCAAATCATCTCCCCAAAAGCCCTTCTAAATTTTAAGGAGGCAAGAAAAATTATTATTAAATATTTAATACTTATGATTGTTAACATGTAGTGTTAGGTCAAACTTGTAGTAATAAAATTGTATTCTAGAGAACCTCACTAGACATGTTTGCTGGACATGTGTATTTTAGTACATTTTATAAGATTGTCATAAATGTACTTTACAACCCCCTGTAAAGTACATTTGTGACAATCAGAAAAATTTTGCAGTATATTTTTTACCTTGAATTCCTATAGGCCATGTTTGCTTTTTTATGAAATATTATTCAGCGTATCTATGATTTAGTTGTAACATTGTTCTTATGGAAAAATAACAGCCTGCTTTATGGCACATACCTAGGAATAATTTGTGGAAGAACCCTTTTAGTTAACTTTGAGAGCAAGGGTTCAGCTGTTAGATGGGCACTATTGGAAGAGGTAAGAAGATGTGAATGTTTGAGGCCATGGACACAACTCCACAATGTTGCTGGAGTAGGGGCTAAAGAGTTGCTCATGGCATCAACTATCACTTCTTACACTTCCCTCTTTTCAAGATTGCCTGGGAGGAGCTTCAAGATGGCAGAAGAGTAAGACATGGAGGTCACCTTCCTCCCCACAAATACACCAGAAATACATCTACATGTGGAACAACTCCTACAGAACACCCACTGAATGCTGGCGGAAGACCTCAGACCTCCCAAAAGGCCAAAAACTCCCCACGTACCTGGGTAGGGCAAAAGAAAAAAGAAAAAACCAGAGACAAAAGAATAGGGACGGGACCTGCACCAGTGGGAAGGAGCTGTGAAGGAGGAAAGGTTTCCACACACTAGGAAGGCCCTTCGCGGGCAGAGACTGCAGGTGTCAGAGGAGGAAACTTCGGAGCCACAGAGGAGAGCGCAGCAACAGGGGTGCAGAGGGCAAAGCAGAGAGATTCCCTCACGGAGAATTGGTGCCGACCAGTACTCACCAGCCCGAGAGGTTTGTCTGCTCACCAGCCGGGGCAGGTGGGGGCTGGGAGCTGAGGCTCGGGCTTCAGAGGTCAGATCCCAGGGAGAGGACTGGGGTTCGCTGCGTGGACACAGCCTGAAGGGGCTAGTGCGCCACAGCTAGCCAGGAGGGAGTCCAGGAAAAAGTCTGGAGCTGCCGGAGAGGCAAGAGACATTTTCTTGCCTCTTTGTTTCGCGGTGCACGAGGAGAGGGAATTAAGACCGCCAACTAAATGAGCTCCAGAAACAGGTGCGTCAGCACAGACACCAGGGATGGGCATGAGACGCTAAGGCTGCTGCTGCAGCCACCAAGAAGCCTGTGAGCAAGCACAGGTCACTATCCACACCTCCCCTCCTCGGAGCCTGTGTAGCCCGCCACTGCCAGGGTCCCGTGATCCAGGGACAACTTCCCAGGAGAACACATGGCACACCTCAGGCTGTTGCAACGTCACACCACCCTCCGCCACCGCAGACTCACCCCGCGTTCCGTACCCCTCCCTCCCCTGGCCTGCGTGAGACAGAGCCCCCTAATCAGCTGCTCCTTTAACCCCATCCTGTCTAAGCGAAGAACAGATGCCCTCAGGTGACCTACATGCAGAGGCGGGGCCAAATCCAAAGCTGAACCCCAGGAGCTGTGCAAACAAAGAAGAGAAAGGGAAATCTCTCCCAGCAGCCTCAGGAGCAGCAGATTAAATCTCCACAATCAACTTGATGTACCCTACATCTCTGGAATTCCTGAATAGACAATGAATCATCCCAAAATTGAGGTGGTGGACTTTGGGAGCAATGATATATTTTTTTTTTCCTTTTTCTCTTTTTGGGAGTGTGTATGTATATGTTTCTGTATGTGATTTTGTCTGTATATCTTTGCTTTTACCATTTGTCCTAGGGTTCTATCTGTCCGGTTTTTGTTTTTGTTTTTTTTTCACTATAGTTTTTAGTGCTTGTTATCATTGGTGGATTTGTTTTTAGGTTTGGTTGCTCTCTTCTTTCTTTCTTTTTTTTTATTACTTAAATTTTTTTTCAATACTTATTTTTTATTTTATTATTTTATTTATTTATTTATTTTTCTTTCTTTCCTTTTTTCTCCCTTTTATTCTGAGCCATGTGGATGACAGGATCTTGCTGCTCCAGCCAGGCGTCAGGCCTGTGCCTCTGAGGTGGGAGAGCCGAATTCAGGACATTGGTCCACTAGAGACCTCCCAGCTCCACATAATATCAAATGGCGAGAATCTCCCAGAGATCTCCATCTCAACCCCAAGACCCAACAACTCCACTCAACAACCAGCAAGCTACAGTGTTGGACACCCTATGCCAAACAACTAGCAAGACAGGAGCAAAACCCTACCAATTAGCAGAGAGGCTGCCTAAAATCATGATAAGGTCACAGACACCACAAAACACACCACCAGAGGCAGACCTGCCCACCAAAAAGACAAGATCCACCCTCATCCACCAGAACACAGGCAGTAGTCCCCTCCAACAGGAGGCTGACACAACCCACTGAACAAACCTTGGCCACTGGGGCCAGACAGCAAAAACAACAGGAACTACGAACCTGCAGCCTGTGAAAAGGAGACTCCCAAACCCAGTAAGTTAAGCAAAATGAGAAGACAGAGAAATACATAGCAGATGAAGGAGCAAGGTAAAAACCCACTAGACCAAACAAATGAAGAGGAAATAGGCAGTCTACCTGAAAAAGAATTCAGAATAATGATAGTAAAGATGATCCAAAATCTTGGAAATGGAATGGAGAAAATACAAAAAACATTTAACAAGGAACTAGAAGAACTAAACAGCAAACAAACAATGATGAACAACACAATAAATGAAATTTAAAATTCTCTAGAAGGAATCAATAGCAGAATAACTGAGGCACAAGAATGGATAAGTGACTTGGAAGATAATATAGTGGAAATAACTACTGCAGAGCAGAATAAAGAAAAAAGAATGAAAAGAATTGAGGACAGTCTCAGAGAACTCTGGGACAACATTAAATGCACCAACATTTGAATTATAGGGGTCCCAGAAGAAGAAGAGAAAAAGAAAGGGACTGAGAAAATATTTGAAGAGATTATAGTTGAAAACTTCCCTAATATGGGAAAGGAAATAGTTAAGTCCAGGAAAGGCAGAGAGTCACATACAGGATAATTCCAAGGTGAAACACGCCAAGACACATATTAACCAAACTATCAAAAATTAAATACAAAGAAAAAATATTAAATGCAGCAAGGGAAAAACAACAAATAACATACAAGGGAATCCCCATAAGGTTAACAGCTGATCTTTCAGCAGAAACTCTGCAAGCCAGAAGGGAGTGGCAGTACATATTTAAAGTGATGAAAGGGAAAAACCTACAACTAAGATTACCCAGCAAGGATCTCATTCAGATTCGAAGGAGAAACTAAAACCTTTGCTGACAAGCAAAAGCTAGCAGAACTCAGCACCACCAAACCAGCTTTACAACAAATGCTAAAGGAACTTCTCTAGGCAGGAAACTCAAGAGAAGGAAAAGACCTACAATAACAAACCCAAAACAATTAAGAAAATGGTAATAGGAACATATATATCGATAATTACTTTAAAGGTAAATGGATTAAATGCTCCAACCAAAAGCCCTACACTGGCTGAAAGGATACAAAAACAAAACCCATATATATGCTGTCTACAAGAGACCCACTTCAGACCTAGGGACACATACAGACTGAAAGTGAGGGGATGGAGAAAGGTATTCCATGCAAATGAAAATCAACAGAAAGCTGGAGTAGCAATCCTTATATCAGACAAAATAGACTTTAAAATAAAGACTATTACAAGAGACAAAGAAGGACACTACATAATGATCAAGGGATCAATCCAAGAAGAAGATATAACAATTGT